AGAGAAAATGTTTGTGCGAAGTATAAAAAGCATATTTCAGGATTCACTGACAGCTCTTAGGTTTGTCCTCTCTAAAAACTAACCAAAACATTTTTGCTTTTTTAGATTGACAAGTTCTTCGAAAATGTCACGAGTTTCAAATGAAATAAAAACGGTAGTTTCTACGCTTGTATCATTTCTAGTAATGGATCATCTAAGTGATCGTATCAAGCAACCTTTACATGACTCAGGAATCTTATAAAAAAATTCGGAATTTAATTGTATTAAAACGGACGATGTCAAGGGATATTGGCTCTTGTACAAAGTTTTATAAATGCTAAAATTATTGGAAAAATTGAACCCCCATTTTAAATTAGCATGAGCCGCCACTGATTACGATCACATTCTAAGTAACTATCCCCACTAACTGTAACTGCTCTTTAATTTTCACAGTCTGTTCTGTACTAAATACGTGATCGCCACCCATCGCCGGTGGACATTCATCTTTTTCACCGACGAACGTGGGATGACATTCATCTTTATCGCTATGAACAAGTTTATTAAAATTCGCTGTAGCTTGTGATGATATTAATCTCAAAATCTCTGTTTTTAGACACTCTGTTTACTCCTGTACCCTTTATTTGTATCATATTAGGTCGATATGGGCGATATTTAACAATCTGTTTTAAGTTTGACGACCTAGAACTATTTTGGTAACAATGTCAAATGTTTTTTCTTATTTTTGATTACAATTTGATTGTTAAACTGTTTAATTCAGACATCAAAATGACGGGAAAATGTGTAATGTGCCAAAGTACCTGGAATAATAATATTACGCATTCATTCTCTAGGTAAGGTTGTGATAGCATAGGCGCTGACAAAGGGAATTAGACTCGATTTTATTTAACAATGTAATCATAGTAAATCATTTAGCACTTGTTTTTATATTCTTTTATCTTTTTATGATCATGTGTAAAAAATATTAATGCTTTCAGTTGTTCATATTACTTTTTTTTACAAAATAGCACGCGAAAGAATTGAAAATTCCAAACAAAAAGCGAAAATACGTTCGGATAAAAATATTTCCCCAAGTTCACCCGAATGTAAAGCCCGTGACAAAATCAATAAACAAATTAAGTAACAAATTTAAAAGACGTTTCGAGATTCTTGCAATCCACCAAAATTCTGCGACTCTCTTAAAAATTGAAACAAAACAAAAACTAAAGTAAATTTTAATCTTTTAAAACCGTATTATGAAAATTAAAATTTTCTACATAGATTTATACTGCTAATCACGTCAGTCAACTGCTAATTCAAAATAGAACCAATCAATCAAACTGTTAGATTCTTTTAACAATCAATAGACACTAGTTTACAAGGACCCTGCAGTCTAATTTTCAACTAATGTTTATTATAATTTACCACTATCTCTAAATGTAAAGAAAATTCTGTGAATATTACTCTATTGCAATAGAGACATGTGTCTACCGAACTGTGGCTAAATTAAACGATAAGAACTATTTGAATTAGACTGAAAATCTTGGGAAATATGAACACAGTGTGCAATTTTGTTAGGTTTCCTTTGACGAGGTTTTTTTTTTAGAAACGTCTATATTGGCTTTACTTTAAAAATACACTAGAAGCCCGATTATCAGAACTAATGTGGGCTGTACCCTATATCAGATAATTAGTGGCTCGGATAATCCGGATTTTTTTGTGCATATTTTTTTTTAATACTCTTAAAGAATAAATGCCAATACCTACCTACTTTAAAATATTTTATTAATAATTTTTACAAACAATTTTTTCCATCTTACGACTGTTATTCACTGTAATTAAGTACTTATGTAACTTTGTAACTTATAAAAACGTACAAACATAGCAAACACTGCTCTGCAGATAGAAATATAATAAGGAGGGGGATTCCTCTGTACCTATTCTGAGATTCCCCGTAATTACCCGATCTGTTAGGCCTGGTGCTCGAATAACACGACATCGCTCGATTAATACGGATTTCAACGGCGGTATTACTCAACTCGGATAATCCAGCGATCGGAAAATAGAGTCGGATAATCGAGAGTCTACTGTTTTGAAAAAATGATTTATATATTTTAGTCCTTCCTGTATAAGTTTCTTCCAAAGTTGTTTTTTATCATATCTATTCATTCATTGTGCGTAATCAAGTTTTTCAGAAGCACTGAAATATTAGAATCTATTGACTCACTTTATATGTACTGAACAAATACAGCAAGGAATATTCCATTATTTATTGATATATGTAGGTATCAGTTGGAAAATATCCATTCTTTGTAAAATATTTGATTAGCGTCTTGGAATTAAAAAGGTCATTTATTGTATTATAAAAAAAATTCGTTCTAGTTCCAGAGAAGTATTTAAAATAACAGTCACAAATTTTCAGAATATAGAGTTAATAAATGTTTATATTGTTTTGGATTTGGCGTCTTTTCGATATCCGCTGGCTTTCAAGAATTTAAAATAATTTATCCTTTATAACAACTATACAGGGTGAGATCGACACCTCTTTTTTAAAAGTAATAATGATTGAAAAACGCTTTTTGGTTATTTATAATTTACGAAAACATTTACAAATCTACAAAATACGCTTAAATATTTAGTATTTATTAGCGTCAGATTAAAATATCAAATCATAATTTCTAAAAATACAATAGTTTACATTGCAAATATAATATTATAATAATAAATTTACTCAACAATTTGTTCTATTATTGGTCCATTTACACAATTAGATCTCATTTAAAACTCTTAAATGTAAATAAATTCACAACAATATCTTTACCTTGTCAATAATTTGACATAATACGAGATTTTGTCTGTTTAGAATAGTTTTAAATCTTTAATTGAGTTATAAAAGTAGATAATTTAAAAAACCAACTCCAAAATCGTGCAGATGCCATTGGGTTTGCTGATTTTCTTATAGAGTCCATCATCAGATCTTGATTAAATATATTTGGGACCACCTCCAAGGTACCCCCTTTCTAACAAATACAGAATCATAGAAATCAGACAAAGTGGTAAAGAATTATCCCTGAATATACATAAAAAATTAAGAGTTTGATGATTTTTTCATGGACCCCATTATCAGATTTTGATCAAGTTTAAAATGGACAAAGAAGTAACATACATAAAAAAATATACCGAAGAATTAAGAACCTTTTTTTGAAGTCTGTTAAGAAAAGGGACCAGATTGATACCGCATATTTTTCCTTAATTTCGAAAAATCCAAGTATGGCTAAGCGATGGATTCTTTTTTTGAGGGCACAGTCATTTGTTCAAAAACAAAAATATAATTCTTTCTATCTACCAAGAATAAACAACAATCTCCAAAACCTACACGCGAAGTATTTCAAAGAACTGTATTGAAATACGTTAAAAATTAATATTATGAAATGAATTTTCCATTGATTGATAATAAGGTCTATTTTGTTATTTCGTTTTGTTGGTGTAGTTAAAAACTTAACCTTCACAAAATTATAGTCGTCCATAATTTAGATTGCTTTGCTTTTAAATAAATTTTTATGCATACCGCGAAACTATTCAATGTATATTTATGAATATTAAATAATCGTACACATTTATATTCCATCATTATTAAAAATGAATTATGCACAGAATGAATATAATATTGAACATCAGTATTATAAGAAATTTTATACAACCAAAAACTGCTTTCAGTTACAACGAATGACATCTTAGAGGGTCAGAATTAGACAAAAGATATCAAATAAATTTAGGGTCCCAGTTCCAGCTGCAACATTATAAATAAGAGAAAAAAAAATAATATTTAGATCAAACAGATGCATTTAGTTGATGAGTGTTTGGTAAAACTTACACAAGAGAATTTCGAAAGAATTCGTTTATGTAAAAAAAAACATAAAAAAAAGATTGTATACTGCAGCTATATGTAAAACAAGGAATTAGTGCATGACATTTTGCAATTAATGTCACTTCCTTTTGTCGATAAATTGTTTTAATTTAAATAAATCGTATCAAAAACAAATCATCTATATTTGTATTACAAAAATAAGTTAAAATATAGTTAAAGTTTTGAATGAAACATCGCACTACAGATACTATTTTTATTTTAACACGTTTTTAACTTTGTAATAATGTAAGTCTATTTTCAACAAGTGATAACTTTTTAGATAAAAATTTCTAAATAAGATTAAATATTTAATTGTGACAGACGTAGATAATGCCAAGTACAAGTTATCATAACAAAAGATTCTCTTGAAATACTTATTTTTTACACTGGCTTCGAAGATTAGAATGTTTGCAAAATTCACTCGTGCTTTCTAGAATTTGCAGAAAACATTTAATTCTATTATCATCTTCATAAATTATTGTCTAATAAGGTAAATTTAAGTAGGGAAAATCAAATATTTATTTAAATCATTGGTGTCATTGAGAAAGCCAAAATGAATCTATGTCAGAAGACTAAAAAAATATTAAATATTATGTAGCTGGTCGAGATATTCAGATAAGAGAAGAATACCCCACTATAAAAGTGTAATGACGCAGATCAAATGAAGACAGAGCCAGAGAGAATTAATTATGAGATACAAGTCATGGAAAACATTAAAATGAAGTAGAATGAGAAATTAAGATGAATATACCTCATGCAAAAAGACTAACTTTTTCTTAGAGAAACCAGAAATAAAAAAGTAAGGAGGATAAAGTAACTATTGGTACAATAACTAATCACTTATCGATGGCAGATGTAAGAAAGGTATAAGTAAAGAAAAAAAGTGGACTTAAAATTTATAGATGAGGAAATAAATCATAAGTGGAACAACAATGTAAATATGGTTATCAACTTAATTGGTATTGACTTGTAACAAGAATGCCTCCAGATGGATTGTTAGTAAGAGAAAGAGGAAAAGAAGCAGGATACCGAAAAAATCATAGAAAGACAGGATGGAGCATTTGTAACATATCAATACATTAAAAATAACTCGTTATACAATTAAAAAAAAACTTACTTTACGTGGAGTCCGATCCCTAGAAATCCTAGGTTGTCTTTTCACATTACTAATGGTCTTATCCTGAGCGTCAGACGCGGTTCTAGATAATGGTTCCGACGGTTTAGATTTACTCTTTTTACTGTCTTTGGTTTGCTGATCCATGCTCTTTCTCTCTTTAACGTTTCTATCAAAAGCCGGATGCGGGTCATGCTTATCTTCTTTTAGTCCTCTAGCGGGTAGATCCTCGATTTCGCTGCAATGTTTCATGCGGTTCAGCAGATGACCGTTTTCTAAATCGTCCTCGGATTTTTTGGTATCGTGACTTTCTTTCTTTTTATCGCCGATTTCGAACGGTACCAGAGACGCTTTTTTGGCTTTAGCCACCGGTTTGGGAGTGTAAATTTTGACTAAATCTTCGAATTTCTTTAAATTCTGCTCTTTCTTCTCCTCCTGGTCTAGTTTGTTAATGATGCTTTCGACGTTATCGAGGTGAGAGAGAGTGCTATCAACGTTGTTGTTGCTGTTTCTGTTGAGAATTGAACTAAGAGCTATGACTGGAGGAAAGCCTGGCGGCGGCGGCGTGTTGACAGGACTAGAAGGAGGGTTAGTAACATTGTAAATATTAACGTTCTTCTTCGTCCATTTAGTGTGTTTCGGTGAAATAAGAGGAGATGGCGGGTGTTTCGCTTTATGAGTACCTTCGGGTACTAGTTTGTAGGAGATAAGAGCGTTTTCTTGCTTATTTAAATCGTTGGTAGCGTTGCTTTTACTCGCGGCGTTTAGTCGCATTTTTTCCGCCGTTAATTTGGATGGGGTTTCTTCGGATTTCTCGCCTTTCGACAGTTTACGATATAGTTCCATCGTATCGCGACACTTTGCACTTAAAGAAAACTTATCTTCGTCGGGCACTTCGTGTGAAAAAATGTCTTTGTATCGTTCCGAGTATTTTCCTGCGTTCGTGATTTTTTCTCTTCGGTTCTTTAGCATTATCAGTCCTGCGTCGTGGCAGTTTTCAAGCCATGGACTCACTGCCTCGTTCATCCTTCAATTCTGTATGGGAACAAAGATGAAATTTAGTTGGGCGTCCTTTTTGTTTGAAGCTTTTCCCAGCGGGACATAAGCAAAGCGGTACCTAGACACACACACACTTACACATAGAACACATTAAGGACGGCACATTTTTGTGGCAATTTGCCGAATGATAATTTACTGTACAATGAATGAACGAATGAGACAATTCACCAAACAAATTTACATGAAAATCTTGTTGAATAGTTATATCCCCCATTTATTTCAATTACGCCTATTAGACAAATTTAAATTATAACATCATTATCGCATTTAATAATTTGACAGACGTCAAATATCTTTCCTTTTATTTTAATTACTTTTTTTACATAATAAGGTTGTTGTGTTTACTTCCTCACATATAATTCGAAATTATCTTAATAATTATACGTACATTTTAATACTTATAATACAATTGTAAATATTGTAAAGTCTAGTCTTATAAAGGGGCTAGTAAACGTGTTGGGATGTAGTAAATAAATGTACATACGCAATTTTCTATTCATTTCTTTCGTTACAGTGTGCAAGCGTGCAAAATATCTTCTTGTAATTTAAGTTGAGAAGTCTAGTTTTATACTCTTTTTACACAGTCCTTTGGAAAAAAGTTAAATAATTCAAGAATAAATTCTAGAATCCGAGAGGCAACAAAAAAAAAGAAAAATTATTTGGAAAAAATCCACTCCGAGCAGGGCTCGAACCTGTGGTCTTCGGGTTGCCGTCCCAACGTAATAACCATTTGAATTTATACCTATACTTGTCTTTGTTTCGAAAATTAAACATAATTTTTTCAGTTGATCTCATTATTTTATAATCTGTATAAAAAAGTTTAAACGCGTCAGATTTGGCGAACGTGCCAGGCATACTAATAGGACCTGTGCTATCCCAACACTTGAAAAAGTTTATTAAGGTATTTAGTTTGTGTGATGATTATTTTAAGAGGCACTATCTTGTTATTTAATTCAAAAGGAACTAAAAGATGTAGGGGTAGCTTGACAGAAGTAAAAATTATTGACAGTATAGCCTAAAAGATCATGTCTAATTATTATACTCAACATTTTTCCAAGTTACTTAGCTGAATTATTTGCTGTATAAAAAAAATGAATTTATTTTTATAACATTGGTTTTAATAGTAAATTTGCTGTATTATAAGTATGTTTGAAAGTCGTTCAAATTTGGGTGGCACAAAATTGATCGAAAACATTTCATCCAATACATTTGATCGAACACATTTTATCTAAAAACTAATATATCAAATAACAATTAATCGAAAAATAAAATGTTCGAAATGATATATGATCGAAACGATATATGATCGAAACGATATATGATCGAAACGATATATGATCGAAACGATATTTGATCGAAAATAGATTTAATAGAAAAAGAAAAAATGAGAAAAAATACATGTGCGTGAACGATCAATTAAAATAAAATGGTCGCACAGATTAGGTAAATTAGTTATTTTTCTTATTTCTCTCATTTTATGTATATATCATTTTTTTACAAAGCAACCTGCCATGACTCTAGGCAGCACAGGTTAGGTAAATTAATTTAGTTTTTGTTTAGTGTTAGTGTTAAAAATGTAAAAGTAAACTGTTACTCATACGAGACCCTTCTTACTTCAGTTGGCCAATTATTGAAATACTCGTATATTAGTTTTAACCATCATAAAATAATAATAAATACTCGATGATACCTTAGGTCATATAGTAAATAAGGTATATTTAGTAATAAACAATGTTTTTCCATTGTTCAGATTATATATATATGCGCATGAAAATGGGAGAGGAAAGATTATTGATGAGAAAATTTGTTCAATTATTATTAAATTTTCCAGTGCTGGAAAATCCAACTCGGAAATTGTAAATTTCTTAGAATTTTCGCGATATAATCAGAAGATATAAAACTAGCGGTTCAGTCACCACAAAGCCTTGATAAGTGGGAAAAAAACAAAATTACAAATACCGATAGACGAGCCAATTATTATCATGAGCTAAGTGCTCTGTACAGTAATGCGGTTGGAAGGCACATTTCGAGACCACATTGGCAGTTACAAGGTTCAATTTTGATTATAAAAAATAATAAAATGAAAAAATATATATTTTTTAAATTGTTTTTAGTTCACAATTTTGTTATAGGCCAAACAAAATAAACTTTTAACGCCACTTTAGAAGAACAATAGATTGGGATGGACAAAATATAAAGCTTGGTATATCTCGACAATGACGAGAGATAAGGCCCGATTTAAAGTGAGTTTTGAAAAGTCAAAAAGTTTGGTGCAGTATGTTATCCAAAAGAGTAAAAAAATCTTCATTTTATTAAAGGAATTATAAATACATAACATATTTGGACATTTTAGAAGATCATGGAATATTTTGATTCCTGCATGATGACGAAGGAAGCCCTAAAATAGATAAAAGATACAATATAGATTTCTAGTCATACCGATTTACCTCCTATCGAAGATTTGAAGAAGTGCTACGGACACATCCTGCTAGAACAATCTCTGAATTATAGCAAAAGCTTCAAGTAATATGAGATATAAAAAATAAATACATATGTTATTTGTTGACATTTTTTCTTTCCTGTATCCAGTAGAAATCATTATTTTTTTGACATCGAGTTTCGACGGATCTTAACCTTTTGGTGTCCCTTGAATCCGTTTTGATCATGTTCACGATGATGTCTGTATCCACGAAAAACGGATAAAGAGAAAAACGCCAAATTTTCAACTTAAGCTGCGGTAGACTGATTAAATTTTGGGCATAGTCGTAGCATCTAGGGGCCACTATAATTTTTCTAATTTTAGGTATATATCTATTAGTTATGATCATAGAAGAAAATTATTTTAATAAGAATTATTTATGATGCCATTCTCTGTAATTTTTGACTTATACATGATTTCTCTAAAATTGACCGCAGCGGAGAAATTTGAAGAAAAGTGCAAAATTTGAATAATTTTTATCTTTAAATCATGTTTTGAATAATTGGACCGTAATCAATATTTTTGATAACTTTACGGGAAAATCAATTTTCATTTGTTCTCATTTTGTGTTTAAATAAAATTTAGCTCGTATGGTACTTTTTGTATTTGGTTCGCTGGAGGAAAATTTTTGAAAAATCCTAGAGTGGGCCAACTGAATTAGAAAGGGACTCATTTCAAATTCATATTTTTGAGAACATAAAATTATAGACAAACATTTTTATTTTTTTTAATAAAATTTTGGAAAAAAGTATAGTGGAACACATTGTGTTAAGTGTTTTTATTTTGTTAAAAAGAGGTATTTTGAATAAGTGCCCCTTGTTTCAAAAATTTTTTTTTTTCACAGAATAAAATTATTCTTTAATATTTGTATCACAAATAACTGTTTAATATTGTAGAAAGTATTTTTTGAACAGTTTGGACATTTTTTAAAAAGGTAGGCTTACTTTGTTAAAAAATTGAGAGCATTTGTTCGAATTATGACAAATAATTTGTCCTTTACAATGCCAGATTATTACATTTCTAGATAAGAATGACTAATAATTAAAACAAATTGTGGCGATATGTACAATTTCCGTTGATAAATGACACGTTTAAATGTTCTTCCCTAAATGATGAAACATCAGAGTAATTTTAAACAAATTAGCAATTCGTTAATATATTCCAAAATATATTTTTTTTATTAAAATGTGAATTTATGATGGAATTAAAAGTTTTTGAATTAAAATAGTATAAAACTGACTTTCCACTACACAATTGTATTTTTTATTAATTAACCGAAGTTTAATTTAGTTATTCTGATATTTTCTAAATGATTTAAATTGGTTCATGGCAAGATTTTTCCAAATTTTATATCTTATGAAAAGGATAGACATCAAAATACTACAAAATATAACTTAGTCGTTTAGAAGCATAGTCTTAATGGAACACACCCATTTTTTACCGGAAATGTTCATATACTAAATTTAGGTAATAAAATACCGAACAAAAAAAAATACCCGACAAATTATCTTTATTACAGCAAAGGGCTTAGATAAAACAACGTTAAAGAGAGTTCTGGAACCGATATTTTTTACGATCGGTAGTATATTGAATATTGACATGAAGTTATTTAATATCGCCCCAGCTGTTTCTAAATCATTCGTTATTTTATTACGGTTGAAGTTTCTTTGATATTTAAATCGGGTAAACCACTATCTAAGGCATGAAGAAGTTCCCCTTATTTCAATTTACAACCCTATTGTTATTTTGGAGTCAGATGAGAAATCATAGAATGGTTATTTCTCTCTAATTACAGATAGATCGAGATAACTTCTCACCTGATTACAAAAAAAATATCCTGATCAGTAAGATAATTCCTTATGTCAACTGTCATTTTAATCAGTACTATCCATAGCAAATTATTGACATATGGTCGGTCTTCTGTTGACGAACAAACGATTATTGATCAATAAAAAAAATGAATTATCATTCGGCAAACTGTAGCACGACACAATTTTCCCTCGAATTTTGATTTTAGCACACTGCATGTTTACCTGTCGACCGGAACGCGGTGTTATCCGAAACCAGACTGTTCATTTCTATCATTGTATGGTGGATTTCCTTTTCGTATTAAGTACAATGATGATTGCGCAACATATATGGAATAATATCACAGCCAGCGTACAGAGGATGACTAGAGAGCACACACATTAGAACAATAAATGTGACAAAAGTGCAGTTATCTAACATTCGCGTTATCTCGCGCACGCGCCTGCGCAAACTTGTATCACTCTTTCGCACGAAAGTTTTTTCGTAAAAAATAAAAAAAATATATATTAGAAATTTTGATCGGCAATGTTTTAGTTAGATAAAATGAAGCGGTTTAAGCGCGGCGACTGTTGTTATTTTATTAAATGAAAAAGATAAATACGAGGTAGTCCAAGGTCGGTTTAGCTAGATTGTCAGCTCGCGTAATGTTGAGTAGGCAGTCATTTTTGCAGGTAACCAACCATCAACG